CTGCTCCCCTCAGCAGTGTATTTCAGTAGACCTGCCTCTTCTGCTCCCCACTTTGTCTCTGGTGAATCTTCCTGCACCACTGGCTTGTACCCTAGTTCTTGTGTGCATAAATAAATAAATCTTTAAAAAAAACACTAAGGCCCTTCTCCCTAGAGCATTTCTTCCTGAAGGGTGTCTCCCCTGGGCTGCCCTGTGGGGTACAGTCAGAAAATATAGCCTGGTTACCATTTGCACATCCCCACTATTTGAGCCATCTCACACCTTCCTGAGGATGCCAGGGCAACCGTGGCACTTCACTTCCTGTGGCCACTTCACTTCCGGGTGCCAGGTTCCATGGAGCCAAGAGGATGACTCAGGAGTTCTGGAAGCGTCCGCCAAGTTCATGAATGTCCCTCTATTGGCCTCGTGTTCTGCCCCTCGACACCCACTCCCCAGGTCCCCCACCATCATGTACTGAGACTCACTTTTCTGGCAGAACACATAGGTCTCTGTAAACATTGCCATGGCGATGATGTCACTAACAATGCCTTGGCATTCACAGAATGCCCTCAGCAGTGGCTGACCTAAGCTTGGCAATCACTCCTTCCTCAAAGCTTCCAAATCTGGGAAAGGCCGGCCAGTTTCACAATCCTTCCAGCTAGCTTCCCGTTCCAGGGGTAGAGCTAGCCAGCTCCTGTCTCCGCCCATCCCCGGGCGGGTATTTGTGTTTCATACCTTGCAGTGTCACTGCCCACTTAGCTATGCCAGTGGGGTTCTTGTCGCTACTTGACATATGAAAGAGCCAGGTGTACACACCCGAGGGTCTGCTGTTTAGACCAATCCTGCTATTGAGTGTCTTCCTTTGGCTTCGCTCTGGAAGCAGAACGTGAAACAGGACTTGGACGCAGGTGGTCTGAGAAGTAACCCGCGAGTGCAGGGACTAGGGTCAAGGAAGTACATCGAGTGCCTCCAGAAAGAGGAGGATGCAGTTCTCCACCCCGTTGGGCAACGGCTGCCCCCAGGCATGCAGGTGGCCATGGTGTTGGGGTGGGAAGTCACAAGAACTTGAGGTGTGAATCTTCATGGAGATGCTATCAGCCGAAATATTCCGGACTCACTAAGAACTACTCACAGGTGTGCACGGACATCGGTTTTTTGTTTTTTTTAATAAAGATTTATTTATTTATTCATACAGAACTGGGGTACAGGCCAGAGATGCGGAGGGTGAGAGGATTCACCAGAGACAGAGCAGGGAGCAGAACAGGCAGATAGACGAAGTACACTGCTGAGGGGAGCAGCGGGCAGGTCAGGAGAGGTCTGCCGCGCCATGTGGTCAACTCTTGGGCGGGGACTGAACTCATGCGGAAGTGGCTTTAGCTTCTTAGTGCTGTGCTTTAACGGCTGCTCCACCAGGAGGGCCATCGGTGTGTTTTAAGAAGCATTTCTCCATCTACTCTTCCTACTCTGTCTAGGGCAGAGATCTTTCCCTAACAGAACAGAGCACCCCCTTCCTCTCAGGAACCATCGACAATTTTATCATACATGTGTGTGAATCTGCATATTTACTACACACCATGGAAACCGTAATATATTTCCTCAGTCCACTTTTGTATTTGTGTCAGCATTTTACTAGGAAACATTTTCAGAATACAGAGTTGAAGGAAATTTATAGGCGCCATCCAGCATCTCCCATTAATATATTGCTGTCAAGCCATCCTGCTTCATTCAACTTTTTTTTTTAATATTTATTTATTCATAAAGAACTGGAGTACAGGCTAGAGATGTGGAGGATGAGAGGATTCACCAGGGACAGAGCGGGGATCAAAACAGGCAGATCGACGAAGTACACTGCTGAGGGGAGCAGCAGGCGGGTCAGGAGAGGTCTGCCACGCCATGTGGTCACCTCCGGAGCAGGCGGGACTCGAACTCATGCGGAAGTGGCTTTAGCTTCTCAGTGCTGTGCTTTAACCTGCTGCGCCACCAGGGAGGGCCACATTCAACTTTTTTTTAAAAAGATTTATTTATTTATGCATAGAAGAACTGGGGTGTAGGCCAGAGGTGTGGAGTGAGAGGATTCACCAGAGACAAAGTGGGGAGCAAAGCAGGCAGATTGACTGAAATACCCTGCTGAGGGGAGCAGTGGGTGAGATAGGAAAAATGTGCTGTGCCCTGTGGGTCAGCTCCCTGACTGGGGAATCAAACTCAGGTCAAAGAGATGAAAGCACTGAGACTTAAGCCCTCCCCACCAGGGAGGCCCCCCCCAGCTTATTTTTTGGATGCATTTCAAAGTAGCAAACATGAATGCACTTCCCCCAAACACTTCAGCATGTACATCATTAGGTAGAGATCATTACTTGCTTATCTGCTCTCTCTTTTTTTTTTTTTT